TTGTAGCCGTTGTCGTTGTCGTCGTCCTTGTTGTTGTTGTTGTTGTTGTTGTTATTGTTTGTCGCGAAACTTCTCGATCTCGCCTTGGCTGCCTCGCCTCGCGCGCTCATCCCTCCCCTTTAGCTCGCGTTTATCGCGAGTTTCGGTGTACCGCCAACTTCTCCTACGTGTTCCGGTAACTGGGTTTGCCACGCCGCCTCTAATATCGTCACGGCTCTAACTATGCCCCGGAATCGAGTCGGCAACCGTGCCTCACCTTCCACGCGGATGAATCGTTAAATCTCTCTTTTCTCTTTAAATGTTGCTGTCCTTCGCGAATACCTTTTTCTTCTCAAATTCTTCTCGAGTTCCCTTAATTCCCATCCGTCCAAATTCTCTCTCAATTATATAATATAATATCGTCGATTTTCCAAGGGTAGTTTGGAAACGAAGACAAGGAAGAACAATTGCGATGCTCGAATCTCTAAAGTTTTTTAGTTTAAATCGGAAAAGAGGGAACCGCGGCCAACGTTAAAAACTTTATCGGCCAACTGCATTAACCCCCTCCCCGAATGCGCCGCCTCTATATACAGGTTGATCGAGTTCCCTCTCGGTGACGAATACCCGGAGGGAAAAGCAGCCCATCGATGCCTCGATTCTCTCGAGCGCCACTTTCACCCGACCACCGCTATCGCCACCCTAAAACCCGATCCTCCCCCCCTCCGTCTTTTATCCGTCCCTTTTTTCCCTGCTTTCCCTTCCCTCCTCACCACCCCCTTTCGAACCGAACCTCCCCCGTTCCAACCCGAAAAGCCCGAGGTTCTGCGGTTCTGACCGGTTTCTGCGAACAGCGTTGCGAAAGTTTTCGTTACTGTTTCCGCGGCACGACCGTTACACCGGCCGTGTAATGGAATTTGTTGGCCAAGTTAGCTGCACGAAATACCGCCTCGTAAAAAATCGGCTACGTTGGATAACCGCTGTTTCCCTCCTTTATTCTCCTCTCTCTCTTCATACCATCGTTCCACCTCGAAACTGCGACTCTCCGAATCCTCCTCGCCCGACCTCTTTTCGAATAGTTTATTCGAAAACCGTCCGTGAAATCGACCGAGCCTCGCTCGCTTCTTCCCCATCCCCCGCGTTTGTTATCGCACTCTCGTATTTTTCCTCCAAGCGTAACGAAAAGTAACGTACCGACAAGGTGACGGATCATCGATAAACGATCATCCCTTCTAAATCTTCGCGTTGAGTTTATGTATTATATAGACGTGTATAAGGATGTGATTCGTGTCTTGCATTTTTATTCCTAATTTTTTTTATTAAACGTGTTCTCTCTGTTCGTTCGAATCATTTCTACATTCCCTCGCCTTTCATCTTACGTACATCTCGATCAATAAACTCTAATTCGAGGAACTATCAATATCCACGCGACTCTTTGATCTCTTGAGGGCGGGTATTATAAGACTATATTCTCCCTTCTTTGGCTTCCAATAAGAACGAGCCGTACTAACCCCCTTATATTAAAATCCATCTTCGAAAATCACCTTCCATCGTCGAAATTCACGTATTCGTTCATCGATTCATTGTCGGGACGCATTCTCGCGCCACATGTCGTGTCGACGCGACCTGCCGGCTTCCGGCCCGAGCCCGGTCACGTGGCCTC